TTAGAAAAGTACTAATCCTGAAATGGACTCTTGATGCATGGAGACCAATTTGTTCACATTAAGCCAGGGCCCGTTATATAGGACAGGGGATGGCTGGCTATGGATCTTGGAAGGAGAGGGCTTGTGGCCAGGTGACAAAATTTAGGAATGCCCTGCTCTAACCTGGTGCCAAATGCAAGACCCTGGACCTTAGAGACCCTCAAATATTTGCTAACTAGGATATAAGAAGTGACATCTTGGGGCTGGAGAGATGGCTCAGTGGTTAAGAGCACTGACTGTTTTGAAAAAGACCCAGATTTGAATCCCAGCACCCACATGGCAGCTAGCAACTGCCCATAACTCTAGTTCCAAGGGATCAGACAGCCTCTTCTGTCCTCAGCGGGCATTTGCATGACACAGGTGTACTTACCTACATGCAGGCATAACACTCATACACATAAAATAAGAAAAAAAGAAGTGACATGACATCTTGTTAAGATTAGCCAATTCCAGAGCCAAGGAAGGAGTCTAGAATTGTGAAAATGACCCAGACAATGGCTGCACCAGAGTAAAACTCGTCATCTAATACTCATCTTCTCTAGTTTTCTTGTATCTTAAGCAATAATTATGACTGTATCAGACCTTGTTTGTTGATCATTTGCTTAGTAAGGCACTTCCCTAAGTGTGTGTGTAAGAGAGAGAGAAGGAGAGAGAGAGAGAAAGAGACATCTCAAAATCCTCTTTGATAGACAGGATGGAAGCAGAGAAGCAAGAGCCTGGGTTAAATAAGAAACATGTGGGGGCTGGAGAGATGGCTCAGCGATTAAGAGCACTGACTGCTCTTACAGAGGACCCAGGTTCAATTCCCAGCATCCACATGGCAGCTATAAACCATCCTTAACTCCAGTTCCAGAGGAATCCGAAACCATGTTCTGGCCTCCACGGCATTGCATGACACGGGTACACTCAGGTGCATGCAGGCAATACACTCATACACATAAAATAAAAATAATAAAATATTTTTTTAACAAAGAAACATGAAAATGTACAGAAAGTGGTCAAGCTGTGTAAGAACTCTCTGGTTATCAGACTCCAAAGCCTGTGTTGTCATCCACAGTGTCAGTGCTGTACTTACTAACTGCCAGGCTCTGGAAGCCATGGCTTTTCCCTAAACTGTACCTCTATTTTGCTTTCTTACTACTGAGTTAATACTTGACATGTACTTTGCAATTTGAATGAATTTTTTAGTATCTATGAACTTAGAGGATGTATGTTTTCTATCACTTACTATCATAAACATGCAACTAGGAAACAGGCCACGTATATCTTTAAAGCATCTTGCCTGCCACCCAAGTGGTACCCACACCAGGATTTGTGGTTAGATTATTGTATTTCAAGCTGGGTTTCCTCTGTCTTCTTGGTAGATAAAAGGCAGAAACATGTGCCAAGCAAACATTTAAGATGAGGATAGCGGTTGGCATTTTTCTGAGACTGTTTTGAAAAAGGGCCACCTCCTCCCCCAGAGGCTGCTACATTTGACTGCTGAGAGGCAAAGGGGACCCCAGTTTGCACAGCCTTCTTGCCTAGGGCCGTCTCACTGAAAAGTATGATATAGATATCAGTTATCATCATCCTCATGATGACGATGATTATTTTACATATGGCTGCTTTAAGGGTGAGTGCTACGGTCTCATTTGTATGCCAGCATCTGGCAGGCTGTCATACATCTGCAGAATATAACCTAAACTGCACTATTAATATTTCCCCTTTGCATTCTCCTCAAGGCATCTGTCTCTTCAAATGCCTAAGAAAGTTCCTTGCCTTCTTGAAGGCCTGGAGGCAAAATTCAGAATACACGCCACCTAGGTTGGAGAAGCAGAAGCTCCAGTGACAGCCAGCTGAGCCTGCACAGATTTATAGCTCTTGGCATAGATGTGAGGAAGGAAAGGGAACCACTATCTACATTCATTCCATCAGCAGCTTCGCAGCCAGGAAAAAATCCACAGGGAGAAGCTTCTCCCTGGCCCATACAGCATGCCATGTCTGTTCTGAGATCAACAAAAGCTATCGAATCATGATCCTGAAGATCAGTTCTTAGTGTCTCCAAATAGTGCCAAAACCTGGTTAAAAATGCTTTCCCTAAGAAACCTTCAGGGATCATGGGGCATCTCTGTGGTAGAGACTAAGCAGCAATGTACTGATACTAGGTCTTAGGCACACAGCTTGAATGCACTTCCCAACTTACCCTGCAGTTAGAGGTGGCAATGTGATATGGCTGAGTTCTAGCCAATGGAATGCATGCTCTCTTGGGGCCTGGCTTATGGGACTCTCCCCTGGGTGGTCCTTCATGACCTGATTTTTCTGTCCTGCTATAGATAAACATGGCAACACTGGGTAGCTATGAGATGGAAGAAGCCTGAGGCTCTGTTTTTGATTGGATAACCATGCCTGCAGGTGAAGAGCTCCAATACTGAACAGTATTGGAGGAAATAATCTTTTATGTGTTTGAGCCATTATGGAATCTATTTTGCAGCAGAACATTTGGAGCTTTACTTGAAGATCTTTTCTTTGTATGTGTGTTTGTGTGTGTGCAGTAGCTTGTGAGTGGCATGTATATTATATGTGTGTATGTTGCACGTGGAGGCCACGGGACACTCTTGGCTGTTCTTCAAATGCTGTTTAATGTTTTTAGTCTCAGACAGTCTCTTGCAATGTCCTTTAACTTACCAAGTAGGCTAGGCTGGCTGACCAGAAAACTTATCTCTACCTCCCCAGTACCAGTATTCCCAAAGTGCCAGCATTTCTAGCTTATTTTTATCTGGGTTCTGGGGATCAAACCCAGATCCTCATGATTGCACTTTACTAAGCTGTTTCCCTAGCCCAGCTTTACTACTTTTCAAGGTTGGATTCCCAGGTTAGATTTCATAATGAAGTATTTTCTGGCTCTCTCTGCTCTGCCCACTGACTATGACTTAAAACTTGCCAAGTGCAGCTAACTTTCATATGAAAATTCTCATAGAATTTACACTCTCATGTGAGCAAACTAAAAACACACACACAAAAACATTTCAAATAGTGGTGAGCACTATGAAGCTAGCAAGAATACAGCTGTTGATTGGTGGCCACTTGGAAGTTAGTGGGAGAAAGTGTCTCTGTAGAGGACACATTCAGTTGAGGCTAGAATAATGATGTGACTAGCTAGTTTGTGAACTCTGGGGGCAGAGTTCCAGAAAAAGGGAGCAGAAGTTGCAAAGAGGAGAAGAACAAAGTTTGGCCAGGAATGAAGTGGTTAGCTGGCTTGGGTTAGGGAAGAGTGATATGAGAGGTACCAAAGATGAACTCAGGGTCCAGATAGTATGGAATCCCCTTGACCCAGGTTAAAAACTCAGAATTTTCAGTTCAATAGAAAGTTACTAGGGTATTGGCAGCATGGCAAGAATGCTACATTGTCACAGGGTGACTGATAGGCAGGGCATGTGCGGGGCAGGAGAGTAGACACACGGCTGGAAAACAATAGTGGCTTGTCAGTGTGGGTTGGCACGAGTGGGGATGGTGACATCTGAGTTGTTGGAGATATATTTTAGAAGAAGCATGGGCAGGGCTCATGGATGGGTCGGGTTGGGAGGGCAGGGGAAGCTGGCGAATGAAAGAGAGGAATCAAACTGATTTGGAGCCAGTGCTTAACTCTCCAAGCAATGAGACCATGAGCTGAGTTGGGAACTGGAGAGAAAAGTCAGGACTTGGGAAGAATGAAACATGTTAGATAGTCAATAAAAATCTGTTTTTATCATTAAGTGCAAAGTCAATATACCAGGGCCAGAATACTGGCCTTAGATACGCATTCAGAAATATTCTTGACTTTTATAAATTTTAGTTAAATGTAAGATAATAGTGCTTATAGTTTTTATTTCGTTTGAGATGCTGAATATCAAACTTGATGCCTTATGCTTCTGAGCAAGCGCTCTGTGCCCATAGCCTCACTGGGTTGTTATTCTAAGAATACCCTTGAGGGGTCCAAGAGACAAGGAGATGTGAGGACTTGAGAACGGGTGGTGAAGCTCAGTTTTCATGTGGATTTTGGTTGAAGATGTGTCCAATCTGTGAAAACTCCATATATACACATATATATGTATATATGAAATTCTCTCATAATGTGAGTGTCCATATTATATTTCAATAGAGAGGCAAAACCCAGATATTTAAAGTTCATGGTACACATGCTGGGATCTCAGTAAATGACAGCCACTATGATACAACAGAAACCATCTCCCATATACCTGCAGCCTATATTCTTCACATTTATGAATCTTTTATTTTGAGACAGGGTCTTGCTATGCATCCATGACTGGTCTCAAACTCACTATGTAGACCAGACTGGCCCCAAACTCAGAGATCTGTCTGCCTCTGTCTCCCTTCTGCTGGGATTAAGGTCATATGCCACCACTTATGAATCTTTTAACAAATGAAGGAAATATAACTTAACTCCAGGTCTTCATTATTGGTAAATTTGCATCTTTTGGGGGGGGCAGGGTCTCATGTAGCATGAACTGGCTTTGAACTCACTATGCTGTTGAGGATGACCTTGAACTTCCTTTTCTCCAGCTTCCATCTCCTGGGACAGAGGTGGGCCCCACCATATCTGATTTATGTGGTACTACAGACTGAACTCAAGGCCTTGTCCATGCTAGGTGAGCACTCTACCAACTGAGCTATACACATCCCTAGCCCAGAATTAATTATAACTAGAGCCATAAATTCCATTGCATGAACAAATGATTCAGAGTGCCATTACAGAGCTAGCCCTGGTACCCTGCTCATAATTTAATATTTTACTAACATTATTGCTGGGATGAAGGAGTTTCACAGAGGCCAATTTATTTGGAAAAGGACAAGTCCTTCATAAATGCCAGACATTGCCATGTAGATTGTTCATTCCTATTGCTTTTCCCCCCCAAGCCCGCTCTTACCTGGGTAACTCTTGAGTCAGACCAATGGATTATTGACTTACAAGGAAAGGATACTAAAACTCTGATTGGTTATTTCAAAGTTCCACAGGTTAATCCTCAGGTCATCAGCAGACATGTAGGTCTCATAGTCACTGTTGACAGATATGGAGTTGATGTGGTATGTGTGTGCATTAGCAAACACTCTTCGTGGGGTGGCCTCCACCATCAGATCCATGGGTCTCAGGACAGGCACCTGGATGTGAGAGAACCACAGTACTCAGAATGGAAACTTTTTCTTAGTAAAAGGGTGTACACTCCATGTCTACCTCCACACAACAGATCACAACCACCATGAGGAAGCCTAGTGCTACGGAAACCACCTGCTCTTCTCGTCATGTTCTGACCTTTTCAGCTGTACTTGGTCACCTGGCACTGGTGGGAAAGTTCAGCCTTTATAAATTTGGAACTTTTCTCTAGTGCTCTCAGGGGGCTTAAATTCCATTGTAGGGATGTTGTCTTCAGAACTCTTGTCCCTGGCTCCCCTCTCTCTTTGTTTAACAAAACAAAGCAAATTCTACAAAGCACATGGTGGGAAATCTGAGGCACATGTCATCCAGTGTCAACCTGAAATCATCCTTCTAATGTTCTTACATCATGACTTTGGAAGGCCAAGTTCTCTCCTCTCCTGGTTTTGTTCTCAACCTTTAAGGACATTTCAGGAAAATGTATAACCATTCAAGACTCTGGTAACCCCAACTGAGCCATTAGTATACAGGGTACCCATCACGTCCTGGTTGACCTGGGAACATCTTTGCTTATACTACTGTCTTTCAGCACCGCATTCAATTGGTCCCAGTTTGGACAAATTAATGGTCATCTTACTAAAATATAGAAAGTGCTCAGTAAGTGTTTGTTGAATGACTAAGAGTGAATGCCCATAAGTATTTTCTTCTTGGCAAGCTAGAGAGTTAGAAAGTTAATAGTGCTTTTTAGAAAATATTAAAAAAGCCACATTGCTTTTCTCTATCTTTGAATTCTGGGTTGAACTGGCTCCTAAGAAAGTGAGAGCATAAGTACCTACAAAACCCCAAACAAACTAAACTATATAGCACAGATGCAGTCCTTTAATAGAAACAAGAAAATAAAGAACTACGAGCTATCTTTTCTTCTAAGAAAATTATCTCTTGCAACTGAGCCCTAGCTGACGTGATAGCAAATGGTAAATTAAGACTTCAGCCTCTAGATCATCATCACCCTAGGTGGTGTAGTGAGGGACCCTAAAGTATAAGCTGGCTTTCAGAAGGGCAGTCGCCCAACAGCATAACCTTCCAGAAGGCGGAGCTCCCCCAATCCGAAGCTGGAGTTCAAGTCATATGTGCAGAACTTTAAAATCTTATGATGGTTCCAAGGAAATATAGAACTAGAGGCAGATGAGATGCTGGGTACTCTGGATGACAATGTGACTGGCAGGTATGTGTAGTAAATCTGGGGGCTGCTGCATGCCAGGATGGAGGACAAAGGGTCAACCTCTGAGGATCCCATGCCAGCCATGGGTAATGGTTCTGTAGCACATACCTCAGTGTGGGAGGCCTTGACTCTGAGCACAGGTCACCACTGACTGATGAGCCAGGATGTGCTGTAAGCTCTGGACACTTAAAATGATACTGAGCCAGGCATGGTGGAGCACGCCTTTAATCCCAGCACTCAGGAGGCAGAGGGAGGCGGATCCCTGTGAGTTCAAGGCCAGTCTGGTCTACATAGTGAGTTCCAGGAGAGCTGGGGTTACAGGGAGACCCTGTCTCAAAAAGACACCCCCACAAAAAGATAGCTGAACCTGCTGTGCCCACATCCCTTTGAAGGTGGTTGTGGGGATTTGTTGAGGTGATCGCCACCCATCCCATATACTTTTTCAGCAACATCTATTGATCACTGTACAAAGTCCTGGGGTCTGCCATCACATGGCTGACTTAGCCAGAGGGTCAGACATAATATGAATGATTTGAAAGGAAAATGGAATAAGTGCCCCTGAGTGGCAGCATAATGCCAGGGGAGACTTAGCCAGGCTAGGGAGACCACAAGAGGCCTTCCTGAGGATGAATGAGTGGGTAGGAATGTGAAAGATCAATTGTACTTAACCAGGCCAGGCAGGAAGGAGGTTCTAGTTAGGGAAATAGATGTGTAAAAGCAAGCCCTGCAAAGCAAGTGTGAGGTGCTGTTAGGTCAGCACAGTTGAAGTGGAGATAGCGATGGAGGTTATGCAGGAGAGAACATGCCAGAGTATACTGGAGGAGAACTATAAGGAGGAGCTCTGCTACTACATCAAGTGGACTGGGAAGAATGGCAGGGTATGCAATAGCCTGGACACGATCAGATCAGGGTTTGATCAGACCTTTCTAGATATGTAGTGGAGATGAGTTAGGGTACTGATGACCAAGGTGTGTACCAGAGAACACCAACTTAGGACCTGCCTGAGTTAAGGCTTCCCAATGGATAAAAACAAACTTTCCCCTTAGGAACTTGGCCCTGAAATAGTTAAATTTATGCCTTTTTTTTCTTTTTTCTTTTTTTTTTTTACTCATGCTTCATACAAAATCCCAGGTAATTCTTTCAACAACTGTAAAACAACTAGCACAAAGCACCACTACAAACAGAAAACTCAGCAGAGAGAGGCCAAATCACTGACCCAGGGTGGCCCAGACATGTGAAGGCACAAACAGGATTTGATCTCAGGATCCATCTAACTACAAAGCTAGTGTTCTTTCCTCATTCCACACCATGCAAGAATATCAAGCAGGGTAGGAAATGATCGATGCTTTCTAAGTGACCCGAGTCAATCTCCAGGAGGTTTTACAGAAGAGGCAGCATTATTGATGCGATAATGATAGTGGTACCCACGGTCGTGCTGTGGGTAAGAAGCCTCCATAGACATCACAGGTTTTCATAGTAAGTTAACAGTGCTTCTGTTCTGTGTGCTTTCAGAAATGCATGCCATGTTTTTACAGTTGGTCACAAAGACACTCACACCTGGACCCTCTGAGTGCTGCCCTACTTACTCTGCTCTCCAGAGATGCCTGAATGCCAAGTGGGCACCTAGGACCCAGAGCAAAGAAGTCTACCCATCTTCCTTGCAACCTTGAACCTCTAACCTGGCCTTCCATATCAGCACTGGGTCTGCAGATCACGCCTGTGGCTATGTTGATGCAGAAGGGAGCGTGACAATGGGATAAAGAGGCATTACAAAGTGGTAGCTGCCAGCCCAGAGCTGCTGCCTAATGTGATGGGCCTGGCTGCTAATGCAGACTGACACAATCCATGATGGGCCACGTGATGGGGAAGAGCTCTGAGCAGGTGTCTAGGGATGAAGCCTCTGATGCTTTCCATAGATAAAGCATGTGTGCACATACGCATGCATGTGCATGTATATATTATGTGTACACAGGTGTGTCTGTGTATGCATGCAGGCGTGTGTGTGTGTGTGTGTGTGTGCGTGTTGAATGCTGCTGCTCATGGTATTCCAGTATTATTCCTGTGCTCAGGTAAAGGCTTGTCCTCTGCCCATTGATTTTCCTTTCATGAAAGAGGGAAGTCTGCAATTCAGGAAGATCAGATGGGTGGATTAGGCAGCCATCTTGTTGGGACTGTGTTTCCTATATGGTTCTGATCACTCTTTCTGGGACCATGCACAGAGAAGAGGGAGGCATTATTCCCAGAGGCACAGGCAATGCTTAGGCTTTCTTGGGAAAGTGTTGCAGAGGACTTCCTGTGCTGTATGCTAGCCATGTGTTTAGGGCCCCAAATGTTACCCCGATCCCAGCCATGATCTCACTCAGCCTCTCAGGAACTGGCACTGAACAGGGCTGGTGTTTGCCAGTGTCATGGAGGAAGCAGGATGTGGAGCTGATCTCAGGTAGCCTGGTTCCCACTTCAGCACATAAGGGTCACAAGTGAAAACATGAAACCACCAGTTTTGCAACCACAGAGTGGCCCGATTTTGGTAATTTCCCATAGTTCAGCCCAATGCTTTGGAGAAACATGCTGTGGGGATAGGATGTTGACTCAGGGTGCATAAGGTACGGAAGGGCTGGTGGAGCCTCCTCATCACATCCATGTGTGCCAGAGGACACAATGGGACACCATGAGCCTTCAGGACTCTTGGCAAGAATGCTTGGATTTCGAATGATATCTTATTAAAGCCCTGTCTGTGTGAATGAGAAAAGCTTGAAAACAAGTATCCTGGGGCAGTTTCTGAACTATGGATGAGGAAACTAAGGCTTGAGATGTGAAGTCCCTCATCCATGCCCCCTGTAGGGGTGGCCATCACACTCCAGGTCTCTGCCTCTGTCTTAGCCTCAACTGGCCTCCTACCAACTTCCTAAGGTATTCCCACAGGCTCAGAGGCCCCTGTTGGTAAATGGGAGAGCCAAGACCACATAGGGTCCAGGACCTAGCCATAACCCTTTTTGTTTGGTTGGTTTTGCTTTTGTTTTGGAGGGTCAAGCTCTTGATATGTATAGCCCAGGCTGACCTTGAATATGTGATTCTCCTGCCTCATCCTCTTAGTGAGTGATGAAATTATAGGTGAAAGCCACCATGCCCAGAGAGGTTGGGACCTGTTAGCTCAGTTGAAACCTTTTATCTGAGCCTTGCTAGCAGCCCTGCACAGGTGCTCTGTACCGACCATAGCCCAAGTTAGGATGCAGCAGTGCCTTCCTCAGGCAGTTAGCATTTCTTTCTCACCTCAGCTCAGTTCCAGGTGTGTGTGTGTATGTGTGTGTGTGTGTGTGTGTGTGTGTGTGTGAAAGAGAGAGAGAGAGACAGAGAGACAGAGAGACAGAGCCTATGTGTATGGTGGTGTGGAAGGGATGAACACAATCCCATTTCACCCGGGCACCTGGCATCCTGTTAGAATATCCACTAAATAATGTCCTTGGGACAAAAGGAAGCCTGAGTCTAACCTGTCAAAGTTATTTTATTCAGTTTTCTTTTCCAATGTTACCTCAGAGAGACTTCCTATGAGCACCCCATATTGTGATACCCTCTCCTTATCCTCTTCCCTCAATGACTGCCTGAAATGTTTTCAACACTTAAGCCAGCCCTTGTTCAGTTATCTTTATGATCCCTACGGTACAGATGAGGAAGCTGAGGCACCGAATGGTCCGTTGAGTAATGAAAGCCACACAGTCTGAGGCAGAGCAAATGCTCATACCCGCTCTCCTTCACTCAGGAGTCAGCTGGAGTCTCTCTGTCCTTCTT